GTGTTTTCTGCACAGGAGCAGCAGTCCACTGTATCAGATGTAGAGGAGATTCTGGAGGATGAGATGCAAGAAAGTGTAGCTGAAGAGCAGGAGCCAAGTGAAGAGACATCATCTCACGAGACTGATCCTCAGACATTCTCAGCAAAAGTGACAGCTGTGCCTTCAACACCAGTGTTCTCATTTAGGTAAGGGTTCGTTGGAGTTGTCCTGTGCTTTGAGTCACTGTCAAATCAACTCCTGAAAACTATTTTTTTGTGTGTTTACTTCAGCTTTAGCCCTGCCAGCTCCCCACATCAAGGCACTTCTGAGACCAAATCTCCAGCTTTCCTGTTCTCTCTGAACTCCGGTCCTAGCACACCAGGCTTCTCTGGATTTGGATTTGACGTGGGCGCATCACAGGAAGAGGTGAGGATTGAGCAAAGGGAATAAGTGATCTGACAGAAATCTGTTTTTTTTTTTTTGGGTTTGGGAATTACTTCCAAGTTTCTTTGCAGGACTCATCTTTTTCCTTCACTGGCCCTCTTTTCAACAAGAAGGTAATGTGCTTTTACTTCTTTTCTTCTCTTTACACGGACCTGAACAAAGAAAATATCAACTTTGTTCTTCTCTTTCCAGAAAACCCTTGAATCCAAGCCTTCAAGCTGTATGTATCAAATACCAGATTTCGTTTTTGTGACGTGTGTTACTTGTTGTGAACTACAGGTATGTGTATGATTTACAGGCCCTGAGTTCCTGTTTGATCAACCTGAGCAAAGTGAAGACTTCCAGTTTGCCTTTGCCTCCAAAAACCCATCAGCTAACAAAGAACCCAGCAAGGATGATTTTCCATTTTCATTCAACTTTTGAGAGTTCTTTGAAAAACATCTGAAATGCTGTTTTGGTTGGAGGTTAAGTTCCTGACTTCTTTTTCTCAGCAATGCTCCTATTAAGTGAGCAGTACAGTTCAAGGTAAAGGATAGATGTTGCTTCTCTAATGGATTTTTATTTTGTCGTTCTGCGATGTGGTTCCTATTAATGTGTACGAGTTCAGATTGATTTTAATAGCTATCACAAGACAATGAACATAATTCTAATAGGTTCATAGATGCATAACCTTTATTGAAGATAAAGCTGTCATATCAAAATAACATACAACATAAATGTCTTTACAGAGTTCCCTGTTTCAAGTTCAGTAGAAGTTTGTTCAGTTTTCTTACACAGTGTAACAAACGGTCTTGATATTTTATGATTTGCTGTTCAGTTTACTTAATGGCAGAAGTAGAGTGTCAGTCCAACACATTAAATAAAATACACACACAAAAAACATCTCATTGGTCCCTTGTATCACACACATTCACATTCTGACATTAAAGGTATGAAATATATATCAGATGAAACCAACCAAAATTTAGATGCTGTCATTTTTAGCTACTGAAACATGTCAGAGCATGACCAGCAACCTTCTCTTAATCAAGGTTACTGGTCACATTATTCAGAATTAGTTCATGTGATTTCACACCAAACTGCATACAGTCTGTTGCATGTTGTTCAGTAGTTAGTCTGTACAACGTGAAGTTTAATGGCACACCTGGTTGTCTGTTCTTAGCAGTGATATGAGTAGCCTCACTTGCACCTTGGCACAAGGTTACAAAAATGTTCTATTTAATAAATGAATACTGGAAAATGCACTTCTACATGATTTAATGTACTGCAGCTTCTATAACACTGACTACAGACTGAGATCACTGCAGTTATTTAGAGTATAAGGGTGTATTTCTGTGTTTAGTCAAGAGCCCGGTCTTTCAATTTGAGAGGACAATGAAATGCAGTAAAGGAATCAAACCAGGGACTTGCTGCTCAGGACATCTGCAGCCACTCATCTGTCAGGCCGACACTGTGTTCTCAGGGGTCTGAGAGCAGAAGTTTTGCAAACAAACACAAGCAAACTGTGTGCTTGGAGGGAGAGTTGGGCTGGAGAACAGGAAATCTGCACAATATGTGAGTGCAGATGTGCAGGGACGAAGCATTACAGGTCACAGGATGGAGAGATAGGGTTTAAAAAGTGCAGGGAAACCTAGCCTAGAAACCTGCGTCGATGCTGATGGAGCGTCGAGTCACGTGTTCAATCTCTCCCGGGACATATTCGCAGAAGCTGGTTTGGTACTTGGCCAACATCCTCAGCATAGGCCGCAGATTAAACCACCACTGGACCTTGGGCATGCGGTGCCTGAGAAACAGAGGATACTGATTAAAAATGGAGCTAGTTGTTTGACAAACACGGCAAATTTGTATTTTTGCGCTGCTTACTCAAAATCCGTCTGATCCTTTAGTTCAGAGACGGGAACGAATGAGATGACCTTCCTCTTGAGGGCGAGCACGCAGGCTGTTTCTGGCGAGTTGGCAAACACACGGCCTGGTGGGGAAATATTGAATCAACATACCTCTGAGCACATCAGGTCATGAGTGGCGTTGTACAGTAACAGTATCCCTACCTTGTCTGAAGTGTTCAGTCAACTTCTCTGAGATCCACTGGATAGCCCTCACACCCAACTTAGTGCCAAAATTTCTATCAAAGGGAGAAGGTGCCCCTCCCTGTAGCACACACATGCAAACTGAGTATGAATGTGTTGCAGGACTGCCAGTTCACAATGAAAGTATGTCACAGTAACTTAATCAGTCCGGTGGTTAGCAGTGTTTCTGGTAGCTCCGTACCTGCTGGAGGTGTCCCAACACATTGACTCTGCAGTCAAAGATGCCCTTCCCCTCTGCTGAGTACAGCCTGTGGATGAAGTCTGTAGTGTAGTTTTCATGGCATTTTTCATTCCTGGTATGACAAAGAAAACAGTCAACAAAGGGAAAGTCTCATAATGTAATTCTGCAGGCAGATCCAGATTAAAGTACAACAGCTCTAACAACTTCTAGATCAGCTCCCATAAGATTTTGTACAATAATGTTTCCCATATAAGAAAATGAAGGTAATTTGTGTGAACTTCAGATTGAACATGTAGCGCCATGATTAAATGAAATTGCTAAATGATTGTTTAACTCTTTGATTTATGACCAAACATTTGCAAACTAGTTAAGTCACTGTTATTTGTGTAGCACATTTCAAACAGACATTGAGCCAAAATGCTTTCAAATAGAGAAATAAGACCAACGTTACAAATTTACCAAACATGTTTATGTATTAATGCTAAAACCAATATCATTTAGAATACAAATTTACCTAACAAGTTCAAATACTAAGCTGAAGACCCTAAAACATTACATATAATACACATTTACCTGACTCGTTTAAATATTATGGTTAAGAACCTCTAATAGCATATAGTCCAAATGTACCTGAATTAACCTAAATATTAAGGTTAGGAACCTACATTATATACTCTACTAAATTACCTAGCTAATCAAAAAAATAAGTATATTTGGAAGACACCTCCAACTAAAGATGCTCCCATCAGCCTCAGCTGTACTTTGCTAAACCTGCTACATAACACCTGCTCAGCATCAGCATTGTTACTGTGTGTTAGTGCACAGACGTTAGTATTTAAAATCACTTGTCAGAATTCAACCTCACAGAGTAATGAGCATGGCTGTCGTGTATCGTTTCAATAAAATGGTAAATATACATATTTGTGCACCGTTTTGTTCATTTACATTTAGCATGATGGCAGCCGAAGCAATAAATGGCACATAGATGATAAGACGTACAGACGGTTTTATTAGCCTCTGCAACCAGCACTGTATGAGAATCTCTGAATATGTGTTACGTACCTGAGCACCAGTCCTCGCTGGATGTCCTTCTTCATCTTCTCTGTCAAATGCTCCACGTTGGTCTGTCAACACGACACATAATGTCAGACACAGAGTGCTGGAAACCTTGCATACAAAAGAACAAAACAAAGAGTTTCCCCCCCCTTTTGGTCTTACTTTGAGGTCATGGATGTTGATGGGTTCCTCAAAGATGTAGGCTGCATCAGCACCCACAGCCATACCAGTGGAGGTTGCCAGATAGCCGCAGAATCCCCCCATAGTCTCCACCACAAACACTCGTCTCTTGGTCCCGCTGGCAGACTGCTTGATCTTGTCGCAACCCTGAAGAAGAATTTGAAATTGCAATTATGCAGAGGCATTTGTGGTCTGAAAGTCAAGTCAAACTTACCTGTAATTAACCGAGAATAACCAGAAAGGAGATGTTTAAAAATACATACGCTGCTCCTTACAGAAAGGATTTCCAAGACAAAGCACTGCTGGTGTCATAAGTATGTTCTTAATGCATATTAATAGAGAGATAAACTGCAGTGTCTCTATCTCCTTGCTCTGAATGCTTGAACATAAGCAGTAAAACATTGTCACCTGCTCTGATTATGTATGAGGAGTTTGAAGTCTATCTCAGTAACACAGCAGCATATATTAGACGTGATGTTTCCTGGTTCAGCCTCTGTTCATCTTTAACCTGAAACATCAAAGTCACCCCGTTAATTTGCCATCTGCTCCGCATTACCTCCATGGCAGCGTTGACGGCGGTGTCTGCTCCCAGGCTGAAGTCAGTTCCGGGGATGTTGTTGCTGATGGTAGCAGGGATAACACACATGGGGATGCAGAGCTCATCGTTGTAACTCCGGGCTTCAAACAGCTGCAGCACACCGTGGTACGCCTGTGAAAGTCGCAGAGAGGTAGACTGAGACATTGCCAAAATGTGCAAATGAATGCACAACTAATTCAGTTTGAACACTTTGAAGAGTTGAGTCTCGTAATTTTACCTCAAACCCTCCGATTACAAGCAGAGCTGAGATTTTGAACTTGGTGATGTTTTCCACAATCTTCTCCATGTGTTTGCCGGGAAGAGTTCTGAAGAGGAACATGACATCACTGTCTGTCATCATATTGTCTAACTCTAAACTTTGCTGCATCCATTTTATTTATTTTTAAATGTGTCTCTTGCAGATGTTGAAGTACACTTGAAATTACATCATCTAATAATTAATATTAACGAAAGCAAGATGGACCGTTCACCCACCGTTTCGTCCCCAGCAGTGAGCCCCCCTGGCCCGTCCATCCAGCCACATTGCCCCACTTCATCTCAAACAACTGTGGACAGACAGGTGGCACAATAGTTTCCTCTCAGTCTCCTACATTTTACTGCGTGACTGCTAAAATGTCCATCAGTGTGATGAAGACGTGGCCTCACCGCTCCATTGGCGAGCCCTTGATAGCCATCATTGACAGCGTAGACCTTGTGTCCGTGAGCGAGCGCCACCCTTACAGCGGACCTCACGGCTGCATTCATCCCTCCAGATGGAGCTCCCACATTCAGAATAGCCAAAGTGAAGTTGCTCTGAGGGAGACATAAGCAAGCACATTGGAGTTTAGATTCTGTATTTTTTATTTTTTTAACATATTTTAAGGCGTTTCTCCGTGTGTGTGTGTGTGTGTGTGTGTAGGTGTGTGTGTGTGTGTGTGTGAGAAACCTACTTGAGTCTGGGCAGGCTTCTGGAAGGCAAGGAGCTTGTAGATATTCCAGTTGTTCTCAAAACTCCTGAAAGAATATTATTAGTTTTAGCCTAACTTTGCTTTATTTTGGGTTTGCAATTCAATATATGAGGTGTGTCAGAAAGGTTTCAGGACTGGTGTCACAAAATATATATTTTATATAGTTTTCCTCTTCATAATAATCCCCCTGGAGTCTAACACACTTCCCCAGCCTTCTCTGCCACGCCGCCATGCACTCCTGGAAGGATTCTTCCAGGATCCTCCACAGCTCCGCCATCTTGATGTTGTCCGTGTCTTCAAAACAAGTCCCCTTGATGACCCACTTGAGCTTGGGGAAGAGGAAACAACCCGATGGAGCCAGGTGGGGTGAGTAGGGAGATTGCTCCAGCACGGAGATGTTCTTCTCAGCCAGGAACTGTTGGGTGCTCAGAGCGTTGTGAGCAGGCGCGTTGTCATGGTGAAGCAGCCACGACTTGTCCTGCCACACCTCTCACATGATCTCTTTGTAAACGTGCTGGCTGATCGTCTGGCCCTGTGGCAAGAACTGGCAGTGGACGATGCCCCTCACATCGAAGAGTACGATCACCATGACTTTGACTTTGGATTTTGACTGTCTTACTTTCTTCGGCCTTGGCAACGTCGGACTCTTCCACTGAAGGCTCTGGTGTTTGGTCTCCAGGTTGTACTCGAAGATCCATGACTCATCACCAGTGATGACTCTGCCGAGCAAGTCTGGTTTGGTTTCAAGACGCTCGAGGATGTCCTGACACAGCTGCGTGTGTCGGTCCTTCTGGTCATTGTTCAGCAGTTTCGGCACCATCTTTGCGCAGACTTTCGGCATGCCCAAATCTTCAGTGATGATCTTCCAGACGTTGTCCCGGTTCATGCTCAGCTCATTTGCGGTCAGTCGAACTGTCAACGTTGGCCTCAGTCCTTGAAGAGCTGAGGTCACAGTTATATACTCCAGGGCGATTACTTTGAAGGGAAAAACTCGTTGTTTGTAGTTTGGGTTTGAAATATATCTTCTGTGACACCAGTCCTGGTACTTTTCTGACACACCTCGTACATAATGAAATCTCAGCTCTCACCCTCCTCGCAGTTTGATAGCCTCGTCAAACCTCTTCTCATTCATGGCCTTCTGCACCAGCTTAGTCTGCAAAGGACGACGCAGTACAATCTCACTCTTCTTATGGAGTCTGTCCATTAAAATAAATCACAGATGAGAGGAGGAGAGAGACTCACCATCTCCACACACTCCATCAGAGGCAGGCGGACTGCATGGTTGCCCGACAGACCGATGACACAGGCCGGGGTGTCGGGAGAGGCCTCCATCAGGGCAATCACTGCCTCCACACCCAACTTACTGCTCTGCAAACACACGCAGTAACATACACATGATAAAAGACACTGACGATGAACGCTGAGAATATAACCTCCTGCTCATTAGTAATTTCTCGTACTGACTGTGGAGCTGATGTAAATACACATGAAGATTACAGCATGTATCAGTTTACTAAGGATGAGTAGGACACTTGGAAGCAGGAAGATGAGTGTGTGCAGATCTTTTTAGTAGCCTTTTAGTATCAGTACTTCTTATTAAGTATTATGGCACATATATAAAAGTTTATCATAAAAAACCAAAAGCAGAAATTGTGTTAAAATTCATCCAAGTCATGCGTTTTCGTAGAAATTCTGAGTTGGGTCAGACTGTTGTAATGCCTAGCAGAAGTTAACTTTGCACACTTGATTCAGAAAAATGGTTAAAATATTAACCAGATCTCTGTTTGCAGTGTCTCAGTAACACATTTTATTGCACACCTGCTTAAGAGTCAAGGTATTGTCAATGGAAATGGTTAACTGTTTCTACAAAGGCTGCTGCATTTGAGGCAAAATGATCCTAAAAACAAATCATTTATATTACCTCAAAATGTCATGTCCGTCAAGTTTCTGTTCATGTGTGCACATTTATGTCTTGTCTTTCTTGTTTTATTTTGAAGTCACTAACCGGTTGTCTCTGTCCTATACTTACTTCCTGCACCCACCTGCTCCCTGATGGCTTTCCCTCACCCGTGTCCCATCTCCCCTCATTACCTCGTGTTTATTATCTTGTGTGTCTCACAGTCTCGTTGCCAGTTTGTTACACTTCACAATCTTCGTACCAGCGTTATCAGTCACAGTCATAGTCTGCTTTGTTACGACCTCATTCTTCTGCTTTCCACCTTGTCTTTTGCCTGCCGATTTTGGATACCTCTGCCTGTTTGGATCGACCACCTGATACCGACCTCTGCCTGTTAATAAACCTGTCTTTTGCCTGAACCTTTTCTGCCGTTGTGTCCACCCGTTCTGCTCACAGTGAGTTCTTGACACAAAAATGTGTACAGGTGTCGAAATGAGTGAAACATAAAATATGTCATCCAGCTCACCAGTATTCTGTCGAACGCTGAGGGGATTCCTCCTCGCTGGACATGGCCGAGAACAGTCACTCTGGTGTCGTAGCCCAATCGCTTCACCACCAGCTGCAAACAAACATGGAAGCATTTCCATGTGTTGATGAAATTCTCCAATATTACAACAAATCTTACAAAAGATCATAGCTGTTTCCCAACAAACTATCCTTGATATGTTCCTTTGTAAGAGTCAAACATCTTATCGGTAATATCTGCCACATGGTATGTTGTTTTGGTTGTTTTTTTTGCTATGGTATCTTACATTACCACACATAAAAACATCACAATAAACTTTATACGATGAAATAAATTTGCATTCTTTAGACATTTGAACGCAGAACTGAGTCGCTCCTGGTTGGTGGGCAGCTGTTACAAACATCTTTAAACTTACATCTTTTACATAGGTTGAGGAGATGGGCTTTCCATTTCTGTCAATGGCTCCTTCTGCAATGATTATAATGTTGAGTCTTGACCCCGTTGTGCGGCTCTGGAGGTAAAGAGATAAACAGATTAGCCAGTAAGTCATTGAGCACAATGCTTCTTCTCAGTTTGTATTTTAAAAGAAGCAAGGAGTGCGTCTATATTTCTCCTGCAGAACAGGTTGCACCTCTCCTGCGTATACATGCTGTTTGTATGTTTATGTGCCTGGGGCTACTAAATAGTCTGGACTGGCTTTTGTGTCTTACCGACTCTAGACGGGCGCACATGCGGTCCTCCCATCCCTCTTTGGGAGGAGCTTCAGGAATAAAAAGCCAGTCTGCTCCAGATGCCAGAGCTGACACCAAGGCCAAATACCTGCATTTATAACACAGAATTAAAACACCCTAATTAGTCCAATTCAGTGGCAGTGTAGAGGAGATGCTAAAATGGGTCAAAGGGTGACTCACCCACAGTGTCGCCCCATGACTTCCAGAACAAAAGTGCGCTGGTGGCTGTAGGAGGAACAAAACAGTTAGAAACAGGCCAATGCATTTTAGCAGCAACTATGTGAGCATGCAAACAGAGAACGAGCCGAGATCCATTAGAGCAAGTCTGGGCAAGATAGAAATCATGGCAGGCAGGCTTGAGTGAAGGAGCAGGGTTCTATGAAACGGATGTGGCGTACATGCATGTGTGATTGCATTCCATTAAAAGTAAATCACTCCCAACGCAGGTATGAATACAAATAAGGCAGGTGAAGGACTAATTATTATTAACATTGTCAATATGTCTGCTGAATATTTTTTATTATCAATCATTTTATATATAGAATTGTAAAATATGCCCACAATCATTTCTCTGAATCCAACAGACACAGTAAACTTACTCACATTTGACAACTGAAAACAGAAAATGTTTTGCATGTTTTGATCAGTTTAATCAACTAACTTCTCCTGTAGTCTTATATCATGCATATATGTATTACAGCTAAACATGTCCTCTGTTAAAGTTCCATCGTGGTGCATGTTGTGTGGTTGCTATAGCTTCATAACTTATTTAGTGAGAACTACTGAACAACCCGGGATCAGTTTTGTCGACGGACTCATAATAATCGCTTTGATTAAACAGCAGCTTCTTGAACGCTGTCCTTGTTCAGCATCGCCCAGCGCCTGACCTCTGTGCGGTTGTCATGATGGCGTCAATTATCTCCATGATGCGGTGCAGCGCAGAGTCGGCCCCGATGGTCATGTCAGTGCCGCAGAAGTCGTTGTCTATGGAGCCCACAAGCCCTACGATGTTTAGGTGGTCGTGCTGCTTGGCCAGAGAGTCTGTGATCCTTCCTGAAGTGGCACACGCATGATGTTCTTTTAACAGTCTATACAGTATAGGATGAAATGACACCTGGAAGGACTACTTCACCACAGAATTACATTTTCATTTACCCAGTTGTTTCCTAGACGCACTATGAATACACAACAGAACCAAACTTAAAGCTTACAGTAGCTTCTTGAGAGCCCCTCACCTTTCTGCACGAGTTCCTCCAGCAGGCCGCTCCACTCGCTGCGGAAGATGTTGGCTCCGGTGAGGCTGCCGTCTCCACCACACACACACAGGTTGGTGATGCCTTTCTTCACCAGGTTGAAAGCGGCGGCGAGCCTCCCCTCACGAGTTGTGAAGGCCTTGCAGCGGGCACTACCTATTATAGTCCCACCCTGCGGCAGAAGCGTTTTAAACAAGTCACCAACCAAGATAAGAACGGCAGAACTTTATAATCTGTGACTGGAAAATTTCATGCCAGCGACACCCACATTTATTCGTGTTGTTGCTGAGTGTGATCTAGACAGCTGTGGCTTCTAAGCTCTGGGTTGTGGCTGCTGCTATAGGTGGAAAGAAGATGAATCTAAGGAGTTCTGATATAATTACTGGGTAAAATAAGGATAAAAGAAAATATTCTACCACATAAAGTCAGGATTTTGTTGAAAATATTCCCATGAAACACAGTGAAAAGTGAAAATTACTCTTTTTTTTTTTGGTTTGAAATGCTTAAAATTGAAAATGGCACATAGACATTGTTTTGTGTCATAAATACAAACGGTTGAATATTAGAGACACACACAAACTGGGCTAATCTAAGTAGGAGTAGTGCAGCTTGCTGTGTCTTTAAGTGATAAGGCTGAAAAGCACATGCAGCAATGCTCCTTACCAGGTAATATGCAGTAATAGGGAGAGAAGAGACAAGAGGACATGGATGAAATAATAAGATATTGATTAAAACTATAAATGGAGAAACAGAGAGAAATAAAAGATGAGAAAGAAGCAACATTTCTAATTATTTTACAATTAAGCCACAATTGGCATTTAAAAAAAAAGGAAAACAGGTTTAAAATATCTAAAACTAAATGAACAATAGGTAAATTCAATGCAGCAGCTTCAGTTTCAGTGTCGCGTATGGATGACGGCTCACGTTGCACATGTCTACTGGGACACTTGATATGAGTGGATCCATTGTTGCCATCATGAACACCGGTGCTTTTACAACTGTGACCAGTGAAAATGCTCTTATGCTTATGGCTACCTTTACCACAGTCATGCTGAACCTACCAGCTGGATGATGTTGGTCACACTGTGCCAGTGGGCCAGTTTAATGTTGTCTCCTCCATCCACCAAGCCCTGGTATCCCTGTAAAGAAGAATATTGAATACTATTTCTGATATGTTTGCACTATTTCTGATATTCTGATATTTATATGTACATTTTTTATTTTTTGTTTTTTCCTGTGTCGTATCTGTGTACGTCTGTTGAAAGCTGCTGTCAACGATGTGAATTTCTCCGCCGTGAGATTAATAAAGGCATATCTTATCTTATCTTATCTTATATAACAGGAGCCAGTCAAGCAAGACGAAAGACCAAACTCACTATCATGACATCAATACAAACAGAAGGCTTGTTTTTACCTCGTAAATGAGATAGACCTTGGCTCCCACGTAGATGCCCATCCGGGTCACAGCTCGGACGGCGGCGTTCATCCCTGAGTCGAGCACAGTTGCACAAAACCATTACTAACGTCCTGAAGTTATGACACACGAGCTGTTGCACCATGGCTCTGCGTGGGGAAGTCAGGCAGTGTGGTGGGCATGATTTCATTATTATCAGTCAATCGAGCTTCATTTATAAAGCAGCAGTTCAGCGCAGCTCAAAGTGCATCGCGGATAAACCGATAACCAGACAGAACAAGTAGAGAGTGAAGCTAGATTATAAAACAATAGATAAATAAAATATTAGGACACGATGAAACAATAAAAAATACATTCAACATTTTACTTAAAGCACAAGTATGAGCATTTAAACATACTTAAAAGTACTGCTGTTTGACCCATTTTAAAATAATTTACTGTACAATACTCTGGTTGTAATTACTGATGCATTAATGTGGATTTATTGCCCTGAAACAGCGGTACGAGTTGCCGGATGTGGGAGGCGTACTTTTATTGAAGCTCTGGGAAAGCAACACAGTTTACTCTATTGCAACTAAAATACCTTCAAAATACACAGTTGAAAGCACTCATAATGCCAAAAGAGCCATTCTAGAATAACATCCTGTGTAAATACTCTTAAAATATAACCACTGATGCATGCTAGTGGACTTTATTACCCCGACACGTAGGCCACGTTGTGCCTGCACAGGGGGAAGTACTTTTATTTAAGTACTGTGATAGCAGCAATAGTACAAAAAACTACGATTATTACTTATTAATACATAATTTAAACAACAATGATCAGAATAACTGAAGCATTACTGTGGACATGATTGCCACAAGTGAAGATGGGCTTGTTTAATTACTTTATATACTGCTGGTAAGTAATAAAATCATATCTTAACCTAATAATAATAGTTATAATAATACATCATGATTACTTATTGATTATATTTGGCATTGCTATTCTGAAGCTGCAAAATAAATGTAGTGGAGCAAAGAGTAAAATACTTTCCAGACATGAAGCAGCATACTCAGGTAGAAATACTTGAGTAAATGTACTCAGTTACTCTCCTCCACTGTGTGTTATATAAACATATAGGCTCAGTGTGTCTGCAGGACATTGGTGACCTTTGACCCGCACAGGGCCCACGTTACCCACGTCCTTCAACGCTTAGCTCTCCTTCCGTTTACTTCTATTTTCAGTTAACAGCCACAAACAACGCTTTAATAATATTTTTGTGTGTTTTTTTGTGTCACCTTGTGCATCTCCACCGCTGGTCAGCACTGCCATGGCCCGACCAGCACACGTCATCTTCAGCTTCTCCAAGTCCACCGAGCACATGTTGGTTTTCTTCTGCTTACAAGTAGGGAAAAAAATAAATAAAAAAAAAAAAAAAACAGAAGACAATTCCCTAAAGTTGTTCGTGTCTAACTCCAGCTTCCTCGTTAGCAGCAGCAGCAGCAGCAGGTTAAGCCCGGAGACAACAACGTCCAGCGGTGACACCCACCTCCCCGCTGCTGACTCCGCCCCGTTCAAAGGAAGACACAGTGTCGAGTGTGCGCTTACTTTATAACCCCGCACCGCCCGCTCACAGCTGCATTCCTTCCGTCGTTGCTCCAAAAGGAATCCCCGCCCACTCGCGGAGCCCCCGATGGATTACAGCCGCGGGACAAGATCCACGGCACGTAGACTCTCAACAGGTTTAAGGAACACTGATTGTACTGGAAAGAGCGCCGCCCACCGATAACTACAGCTGCAACTAAACTAAACTGTTGACCTGTAGGTAAAAATGTACAGTTGTCTTCAAATTCATTCATAACCTTTCATTAAAGAAAAGGCAAAATTCACAATAGTCACTCAAATAACTAGAAACTGAAAAAGTAGTAATAAATAAAAATGTGCTAAATTATAATTTAGTGAAATAAAACATTGCTTTGAATTGTGTTTGAAAAGAATAATTTAAAAAAACAACACTTAACTGCAGTGATTTCCTCAAAGGGTTGTTCAACAAAATATTAGTTTAAGGGTCCCATCATGCTTGTTTGTTTGTTTGTTTGTTTTGAATATTTCTGTTGAACCACAGTTCAGTGTCATGATTTTCATTAAATCTTTACTTTTGTCACTTTGAATGTATTTCAGTGACAAAACTAAGTATAATATAGTTTAATAATACACTTTAAGACTGGCATTGCCACATAATAAGGCCAATAAAGTGACTACTGCCCTGTTTTAACCTTAATGTTTACATTAGAAAGATAATTTGCAAGAGTATCTATTATTGTAGTTTCTTAACCTTGTAAATTTGCATCATATATAATGTTGTAGGGCTTTAATTATGACATTTAAACTAGTCAGGTAAGTATTAAATATTGTATTATATAGGGTCTTAACTTTGATATTTAAATAAGTCGGGTAAATTTATGTAAGACATAATTTTGTAGGATTTTAAAACTTAGTATTTAAATTAAACAGGCAAATATGTGTTATAAATGCTACTGCATTGTCTAAACCTTAATATTTAAATAAGTCAGGTAAAATTTTATTTCATATAATATTGTAGGACCTTAATCGTGATATTTAAATTAGTCAAAAAAATGTGTATTTTATGTGATACCTAAAAGTAATGTTATAAATCCTGTTGTATAGGCTTAACTGTAATTTCAAAATAAGTCAGGTGAGTTCATATATCAAATAATATCATAGGTTCTTAATAGTGATGCACGATATTAAACTTTTTGGCCGATACCGATATCGGATCTTGGATATTAAGATTTCTGATATCGCGTATAACTGATATTACCAACGTCAATATTACATTTTTTTGTTCACACTGAAAAATAAGTATAAGTAAGCACTGTGAGAACATGAAAGCTATTCAAAAGAAGCCCAAATTAGACCACACAGTCTAACAAAAGTAAAACATATTTAAACATATTTTAACATATTTAAGTCCAGGACCATTTAAATAAAAACATCTGTGAAATAGCAGCAATATCAAATGTAGAGACGAAAGCGCTAATGTTAGACAATCATCAGTTTTTCACATCGGCTAAATTTATTCATTGGGCCGATACTGATATATCGGGGAAAAAAACACTAATATCGGCTGATACCGATGTGGTCGCCGATATATCGTACATCCCTAGTTCTTAACCTGAACATTCGAACTTCTTATTTCTCTTTCAATTAGAAAAACACTTTGGCTCAATGTCTGGTGTTGTAATTGTGTTATATAAATAATGACTTGACGTGTTCAAAACGGGCCAAAGTGAAATAAAAATATTGAAACAAATACATATACTGCTTAACACACATGTGGCAAAACAGAATATAGATTAAAGAAAGTAAATTTTTCATACAGTGTTGTTTTGACTGCAGGTGGCTGGAACATGTGTGAATAAACATAAGATGTAATTAATTATTATAACTTGTGTGCAGAGTTGATAAAAACAAACAAAAAAAGCTCAGCGATGACCTCCTTGGTCACAGAAGAGACGGACCACGGTGTTTGGGTACAGTACATCAGCATTTATTCCATGCAGTTGTTTGCTCTGATTTTATTCTCCCAGATACTCATTGCACTGTACACTGAATAATACAGGAAACTGACAGGATTGGTTGATCATAATGTCGTCTGACATGAAAGGGAGCTGGAAATGAGAATAACAAAGAAAACAGATGTCTGATACACGGGATGAGGCAACATGATGTCCACAGTTAGAGAGACAGTTTCACAGAAATTCAGATGTAAGTAACTGGTATTTTTGATTAAAAATGAGACGAAAGGATCACCGCAGAAGTAGAGAAACGGGCATCACGCGTGCCTTCAGGCTTAACATCTCATGTACCCTGCTGTGACAGTCCACTGACTGACGTACGGTTGGAGGTGATTCTTAGCAGCCTAATGATAGGAACACTTGATGTCGCTAATTACTGATGTAAAGTCTGCTAATTCAATACTTGATCCACAATAATAATCTAAACGACGAATGGTCCCCTGCAGGGTCAAATGATATGACGATGCTTTTGTTCTACCATATAAATACTGTCCTCTTCCTATACCAATTCATTGTGCTTCCTTCAAATAATACTTCTCAGGAGAAATTATAGGTCGTGACATTTCTGAAGCTGCCGAAATTAAAAAGAACACTACACCTTACCAGTCATTCCAAATAAATTAATTCAATAATCATGTAGGCCAGCTACAAAGAAAAACAAAAGATTAAAATTAAATTAAACTTCACAACAATCATACTTCACAGGATATATGCCAGAAAGACAATGTTAATAACAGCTTGATCGGATTACCCAGTCATTACAATACACTAGGTTATTTCACACGCACGTAAACAAGAGTGAAGAAGGTAGACGGAGGCTCGAGGAAAGGCAGCAGCTGTTTTTCAGTACCAGGTGGAAGCCTTTCCGAAGCTATCGAGCGAAAGGTAATTTAACCATCAGTACAGTTTTAGATTCACCTTGTGCTACTCGCTTTTATGACTCACACTCTCCTGCAGTTGTTCAATACTGATGTAATATAGATTAAAGAATTTCCTGCTCATTTTTCAACCAGTCAGCTGGTCATGAGTGACAGAAGCCCGAGGCCTTGCCGGAGCTGTACGATACGTTAAAGAGACAGAGAGAGAGAGAGAGAGGACGAGAAACGGGTCACATTACATTTACAGATGTTTATATACAGGAGTAACACTGAGATGAGGTCGCTGAAAGCCAAGAGCAGCTTAATGCTCCGTGGCCTTGTCTCTGGCTTATGTTCCTCGCGCAGAATCTCAGCCGTCTGCATACACTTGAGCTGACATCTTGAAATCGTTATTGTTAAATTCAACCCTGGCTGACTGCTTTTTTTTTCCCCAACTGCAACATCAGCAAGGTGGATGACAAACAGGGCTTAAAAAAATAAAATAAAACAAAATAAAATAAAAATCGAGCTCTCACAGGTGCAGTATCCCTTTTCAAAGACAACCAGATGAAAAAAAAAGTAATATTGCTGGAATTTTAAGATTCAGATGGTCATTGGGGGGGAACGTCAGATAAACTAGCTTGGGGGATGGAGCCAGGACATTTACATAACACAAGGCAAAATAAGTCTGTGTACCGGTCGCCATCTAGTGGCTGTTAATATATTGCTCTGGCTCTTGATCCACAACACAAAACCTGAGCGTCAAACCCTGCAAAGGCAAGTCCATTCATAAAAATGGGACAATTTAAAAAATATAGCCTCTATAATAAAGTGTTTGACACTTGCTGCCCTCCTCTAGCCACCAGTCACTGTCTAGCCAGCTAGACAACCCCCCAAAACCTGAGCAAGCAGCTTCTCCCTCAACCTGAGCGCCAACCTATATTATTGCTGTTCTATTTACAACAGCACAGAAAATAATTAGCATTTCTGGACATCAGACAGTATAAATTACCCTGCTAGAAAATGGTATATGGGAACACGCTGCACCTTTCAAGAAATGGGATACTGCACCTGGATCGCAACTAAACTGGTCTGTGTCTCTACATAACGTTAATGTTCGTTACAGCGATAAAGGGTTGAACATCAAGGCTATCTGTAAGACCTTTTTTTTTTTTAAATATTCCTGCATGGTCCATAGTATGTGCCACTCAAAGAACATTCCTTCATACAACAATTGGTCCTGTCCAGTTTCACAGTCCTCGAACAATCCTGAGATGAGACTTGAAACTGTAATGTCCAATGGAGAGGAGGGGGCTTTGTGTTCACTCACACACACACACACACATACAGATAACTCCCTCAGGAACTCTGGGGGTGACATCTGATTGCTAATGACGATGACGTGTCTTAGAGATGAGCAGGTTCAGAGAGGAAGAATATCTTTTTTCTTTTTTTTTTCTCCTTCATCTCTCGTTGCTCTGCTAGCTTGTCCACTTCATGCAGTCTTTGGGCAGCTTTTGCAATTTTTGCAAGCTGCACGGGGGCATGCTTTGACAGCTGCGTGGGTCTCATCCCGATGATGAGACACGTACGGTGGTTTTTTTAGCGAGGGAGAAAGTCCAGTTGCGAGGCAGGTTGTTCATGCTGGTGTTCACGCTGTTTTCCATGAGCTCCTTGTTCCCCGTGTTAGCCGTAGTGGGGACAGAATGGACGTGGAGGAGGTGGGGTACCGGGGCTCTGCACTGTAAACTCAAAATAAAGCAGGTTGGTCGGACTGAAGTAAGAGAGATTGCTTGTTGTTTGGGGATTTCCGTCTAAGACAGCAATATGTTGAAAGCAACGGCAGCCAGAAAAAGGCTTGTAGTGTGTTCCTCGTCTCGGTCGCTCACCTGAGAGACCGACTGCTGTAGCTGTGCGACTCCCCGCTGTTAGCTGTCCGTCTCAGACACATCAGAGCTTCAACACATTTTCTCTCTCATCATCACCTTCATCCAGTGCTAGTCTCCCCCCAGCACACAGTAAGCCCATGCTTAGTTTCAAAATGTCAGTTTTTTTTGTTTTTTCTCTGTTCAGATCAGAGAACTTACAGAGGTCCTGAATGTTCCTTCAAAACTCAGACAAAAATAAATTATGAATGTTAAACTATCTACTGTACAATATCATTCAAAAGGGAATCCCTGCCATGGGTTGCCTGGATGCTGTGCGAGATGAGGGGGGGGGG